ATGTTGTTCTGAAAGAAAGGCAGCAAAATGCAGTGTTCAAGACACGTAATTCAGTGTTGACTGTGAGCTCGCAAGGTGTAGTCAAGTAAGTTTTAAGATAAACCAACAAGTATTTTTAGACAATTCTTTCATGGTCTTGTAGCCTAAGTAACCTTCATTTTTAAGCCTTTTTCCATTACTGAGAATAAGAAATCTTATTTTGTACTAAGGTAAAGTGATTTACCAATGTAACTATATTCATGAATCTTTTCGGCTTGAAAAGTGTGTCACAGATATAGAAAACAATGTATTTAAATACAACCTTGAAGACATTGAGTTTTCCCAACATCGAGTCCATAAGAAGTTGGTCTACAGGGTGGGCAAATAAATTGGAACATGGCTCCTGTTTTAATTGATGGAAATTGTGTTGAGACCATTTGAAGGTTACATATTGTATTGTATGTAAGATATTGTATTTTCAGCAGTGATGTCTCTACCTGAGAAAATTTGGAATTCTTTCATGAAATACATGTACGTTGTACTTTTTTATTGACCCATCCTGTATATATTAAACGAGAAAAAAAAATATTTGTGTAGCACCTGGTAATAGTTCAAAAATGAGGATTGAATACTCTATGGTTGTCCAATATGGATGCATGTATTCCTGCTTGTTTTATCAACCCTTTTATTTTACAAATTCAACTTAAGAATTTACACATTTTTTAGATTGCTTGCCATGAAAGTAATGCATAGAGTGTATTGTTTTGATCTGGATTTACCAGCAGTTGAGGTTCTTAGTATTATAGAAAGTGTCGCTTTGAAGAAAAAAGTGAGTTAAATTCAGTTCTTTTCAAATAAATTGATTGTTTTTACTTATTATTTTATGGCATAGTATAATAAAACTGATAATATTGATACCCCTTCAATATAGAGCTGTTGAATGTGTCTATATATCTACTCACAATTCTGATCTAATGCTATTTTTGGGTTTTACAGTTTGTCTTTGAGCTATAATCTCGATCATGACATGCTAGTTATATGTGGCTAAATGCTTCTGGTAATGTAATTTACTTCTGAGATCAAAAGTTTAACCGAGCCCATGTAAATTTAATTTGAAGATATGCTCAGAAAACTGAGCATATCTCCCTTAGTGAGTAAAATATAGTAAAAAAAATGTTTAGTTTTATTACATTTTATAAAGGTGCACTCCTGTTATTGTCTCTAAAAAAGCAACTTTTTGTTTTAGTTTTTAACCTTTAAACAGTCAGGGGGAGGCTTATACTCTGAGGGTTAATGCATAATAAGAATGACCTTTAAAACATGATTTAGTTCTTCAACTCAAATGAATTTCTGAAATTTTGGAATTGATGGATGGCAAATGTAATCCCAAGATGAAAATAACATTCATAATCAAAGATATAAGCATCTTAAATTAGTTTGAGCAACCTATATGTCCTTTCTCTACTATGTACAGTATTTGTTTCATTTTTATATAATATTTACTCGGCGTGCATCTCACCACAGTGTTTGTTATGTTTGACTTCATATGATGTTTTGGAAGGAGCCTCATAGAAAAATCACAAACTTTCTCTCTTATCCAAGGATTGTCTATAAATTAGAACTTAATGGAGAATTGGATTTATGATAAAATACCTCACTTCATTTTATGGGATATGGGATCTAAACAATAACAACTATACCATGTATATATCAAAAATAAAAAATACGAGGCACTTTAAGTTTGTGATTGAATAGAATTTAGCAGTAGTTAGCTAAACTGTAAAATCTACAGAGTGCCAAAACAGATTCAAGTGTCAAAAAAGAAGGAAGCATACCTGCCCAACATGTTTGAATAAATATAGGGACTTTCCTAAACATTTAAGACAAATACATTTTAAAGATCCAAATTACAAAATTCCCCAAATCTTTAAATCAACATTTTTTCATGAACATTCCAGAAAAAGGAGAGTGCCAAATCAAGCAAGACAATATAAATATAAAGAATGTAAAAAATGTGGGAAAAACATCCAAAGACTGGACAAACATTTAAAAACATGTGAAACATCTGTACCAAAGAAATCAAAATTCAAGACTACAAGTTATTTGTCAAGCAAAATAGACTATGGCGTAATACTATGGTCGCCCTGTCTAAAAAGAGAGAGCTTGAAAATCAAGCAAATAGTGGAGAAAATCTCCCGACAAAACAAGACATTAAGGACTTCCATTGTTCGGCTTATGTAAAAAAACGAAGAATTAATCGACCAAGAAAAATTGAAAGTAGTGATATGTATCACCTGTGAAACTACTTGATGACAATTATCTGCATCTCAAATGCATGCCTGGTGGGACCAATCATGAATCTCGAATGTAGGCATGTCAAACAAGCAGACAAAATTGGACGTTATGTTAACCATGTAAGTATTACTGCAAATTAATCATGCAAGCTTCAGTAAACCATTTAGGAAATCGAATTGGAATTACTCCTTTTTCCATGTAGTATTTACTGACTGTTTTATGGGGGTTTTGAGACTGACAGATTTTCATGTTGTACTGGGGATTGAATGTAGAATTTACTGAGTGTTTTATAGGGAATTTGAGAATGTCACTCTTTGATGTTGTAATGGGGATTGAATGAAATATTAACTGATTGTTTTACAGGGGAGAGGTTACAGTTGTATCACCAATTCCTGCTTTTGTGTACCAAAGAAATCAAAATTCAAGACTATGAGTTATTTGTCAAGCAAAATAGACTATGTCGTAATACTATGGTCGCCCTGTCTAAAGAGAGAGCTTGAAAATCAAGCAAATAGTGCAGAAAATCTCCCGACAAAACAAGACATTAAAGACTTCCATTGTTCGGCTTATGTAAAAAAAACGAAGAATTAATCGACCAAGAAAAATTGAAAGTAGTGATATGTATCACCTGCGAAACTACTTGATGACAATTATCTGCATCTCAAATGCATTCCTGGTGGGACCAATCATGAATCTCGAATGTAGGCATGTCAAACAAGCAGACAAAATTGGATGTTATGTTTACCATGTAAGTCTTATTGCAAATTAATCATGCAAGCTTCAGTAAACTATTTAGTATTTACTGACTGTTTTATGGGGGTTTTGAGACTGACAGATTTTCATGTTGTACTGGGGATTGAATGTAGAATTTACTGAGTGTTTTATAGGGAATTTGAGACTGTCACTCTTTGATGTTGTAATGGGGATTGAATGAAGTATTAACTGATTGTTTTACACGGGAGAGGTTACAGTTGTATCACCAATTCCTGCTTTTGTGTACCAAAGAAATCAAAATTCAAGACTAAGAGTTATTTGTCAAGCAAAATAGACTATGGCATTATACTATGGTCACCCTGTCTAAAAAGAGAGAGCTTGAAAATCAAGCAAATAGTGCAGAAAATCTCCCGACAAAACAAGACATTAAAGACTTCCATTGTTCGGCTTATGTAAAAAAACGAAGAATTAATCGACCAAGAAAAAATTGAAAGTAGTGATATGTGTCGCCTGCGAAACTACTTGATGACAATTATCTGCATCTCAAATGCATGCTGGGTGGGACCAATTATGAATCTCGAATGCAGGCATGTCAAACAAGCACACAGAATTGGACGTTATGTCTACCATGTAAGTATTATTGCAAATTAATCATGCAAGCTTCAGTAAACCATTTAGGAAATCGAATTGGAATAACTCCTTTTTCCATGTAGTATTTACTGACTGTTTCATGGGGGTTTTGAGACTGACAGATTTTCATGTTGTACTGGGGATTGAATGTAGAATTTACTGAGTGTCTTATAGGGGATTTGAGACTGTCACTCTTTGATGTTGTAATGGGGATTGAATGAAGTATTAACTGATTGTTTTACAGGGGATTTGAGACTGACACTCTTTGATGTTGTACTGGGGATTGAATGTAGTATTTACTGAGTGTTTTAAAGGGGATTTAAGACTGACACTCTCTGATGTTGCACTGGGGATTAAATATAGTATTTACTGAGTGTTTTATAGGGGATTTGAGACTGACACTCTTTGATGTTGCACTTGGGATTGAATGTAGTATTTACTGAGTGTTTTATAGGGGATTTGAGACTGTCACTCTTTGATGTTGTACTGGGGATTGGATGTAGTATTTACTGACTGTTTTATAGGGGATTTGAGACTGACACACTTTGATGTTGCACTGGGGATTAAATATAGTATTTACTGAGTGTTTTATAGGGGATTTGAGACTGTCACTCTTTGATGTTGTACTGGGGATTGGATGTAGTATTTACTGACTGTTTTATAGGGGATTTGAGACTGACACACTTTGATGTTGCACTGGGGATTAAATATAGTATTTACTGAGTGTTTTATAGGGGATTTGAGACTGACACTCTTTGATGTTGTACTGGGGATTGGATGTAGTATTTACTGACTGTTTTATAGGGGATTTGAGACTGACACACTTTGATGTTGCACTGGGGATCGAATGTAGTATTTACTGACACACTTTGATAATGTTCTGATGAAACAATAAATAAGTGAAAATCACTGTGATACAAATAATAAATCCAGTATTTTATTACCACTCTGCAATTTATCTCAATGAATCTGGTCCATGTAGGATTAATTATATCAATATCCTCTCTTTAAATCAATGTAAGGCGAAGCAAGAGCATGATTAAGAAACCAGTGTAATAAAAAAATGACCCCCTTCCTTACCTAAGCTATGTTGACAATTGCCTTTATCAACAGCCTGTTTCATTATATGTACATTTTTTGATTGTATTTAGACAATTCTATTTTTTTTTGACTCATAAGCATGACAATGATGACATATGTGAAGAGCCAACACCTCTGGATAAATAATAATAAAAGTATAAAATAAATAATAATGGCCTCTAATTTAAACAACACCATTGACTCCTATGTTCAAAACTATTTTGATGCATGATACGATTATTATTTTGCAATATTACCCTCTTGCATAGTATTATTGACAAAATTTATAATTTTGTACTTAGGACATCTGAGGAGATAGTCGATGAGGCTGCAGAAGAAGGAGGATGGGAGGCCTGGGAGCAGCCAAAGTCCCACTCATGGGTCCTTCAGGTATAAGAAGGTAATAATGTTCGAGTAGGAGGAGCCCATATCTCTGGAGGTTCTGGAGCCTGTAGCTGCTGCAGTAGATGAGGTAGGAGTCAATCCACCACATGACTAGAAATTCCTTTAGTGTGCACCCTTATAAAAAACTACCATTTTCTCCCAAATTAAATTGTTACATTGAATATCATGTAACCGTCCAACATTTCAACAATGAAGATCAAAGGAAACATCATTACTTCAAACATTAATGAATAGTACCATGGGTAATGGGCTCACATTGTGTTGCTCAAGAGTGAATCATGGCTAAAATGGCAGAGAATAAAAAAAATGGATGTAATTTTTGCATATTTTTTGTTACAAAACTATTTCATACAACTACTCTTTACAGTGTCATGACTTTTTACAATGCAGGACACCTTAATTTGATTATTTGTAAAGCTAGACAATAATATATAGTTATATCTAGCGCCAAAAATGAATAAACCCTATTCTCTTGAATTACTGTACTCCAGGTATTGTTTGCGTGAGATTTGATTTCTCTTTGTTCGCGAATGTAGTAAAATCACCAACATTTATCGTCGAAAATTTGTCTTTTAAATCCCCAGGGATTTTACCCGTGACTTTTGATATGTTTCTTTCGGTGTAAAACGTCTCATCCAGTGTTGTTGGGCGATAATTCTAAAAAGGCCTAAAATGTCTAACATTTTGAACATTTTGAATAGGCTTATTAGGCCAACAAAGGCAAGAACTGTTGATGACAATGACATCCTACAAATTGAAGTTGAAAAAGCCATTCAAGAATATTCAAATAAATGCCCTAAACATGGGAAATACAAACATTATTCGGATTTTGAACGGGCTAATAGCCAGATACGCATTGATTCACGGTTATAAGAAAACAATTCAAGTTGTGCAATCTGCGAAATGTCATCAACTCAAATCCGCGAAATTAAATAGCTAGGAAATTGCAATTTTGAAAAATCGCGAAATTTTATAGCGTCGAAATTTACCAGGAGTACAGTATATAGAAAACAATATGCCTATGAACGTGAGCTCCAATATTCTTATTGTTGTTATGATATGTAGAAAGTTTCATGCTTCGTTCCATGAATGAACTGTTTCCTGCTTTTTTGCATTATTTCTCTCACTATTAGACACTATGTTTTTTCAGAACCCCTTTGATATTGAGCAAGGGGTGTGCAGGAGCTGCAAAAGGTACCACCTGGAGACAGAGGTGTGTACCATGCTAATAACTGTTTTATCATGCCTTATAGAAATGCATATGCATCTTAGTAATGGTATTCACATTTCCAAATTATCATTTAATATTGTTATCTTCATTCATTTTTAAGAAAGCTTTGGTACTTGCTCGTTCAATGTAACCTTTGGAGGGACTTTTGGATCATTAGTTTGGATTTGTCTCTTTTTTAAATCATGTGAGTTAAAGTCCTTTTTTGTTAGACCAAATGTTATTATATTGTTTTATTTTTATTTGACATGTACACATGTACCTGAGGCCCCAGCTTCTAGACCAGCCACAAGACCAGCCCAACCAGCATCCAGACCAGCCCCTAAACCAGCCCGACCAGCCAGACCAGCCCATATACCAACCCCAATACCAGCCCTTATACCGGTACCAGCCCCAAACACGGTGGAGATCTGCGAGGTGCGATTCCTCGAGTCCATCCTTGTGTCAGGTACATATTAGACTTATTGTTAGTGTAAACAAACCATCAAAAGTGGTGACATATTGTTATAGCCTTCAACATGGATGATGGTTGTGTAGTTAATTGATCCGCTTTTGGCTTCTGTAATAAATTCTTACAAAATGGAGACCATAACAAATGGTGTTATTTGTACACAATTTCCAACAAATGGTATTTGTCTGTAGCAAACATTTTTACAAATGTTGCCTGTAACAAAATCTTACAAATTGCATCTGCAACAAGTTCTTATTATAGAGGGACAAGAACATGTCGCCATTGACAATGTGATGGCAGATCGAGAGGCAAAGGCTGTGTTCAAGACCCGGAATTCGGTCTTGACTGTCAGTTGCTGGTGTAATAAAGTATGTATTTACCATAAACCAAGCAATATTTTATATATTTAAAATATAAGGCTAATTTGGAGGAGTTGGTGTGTATAATGTTAACCCTAGATAATTGTTATAGTTGGTTTTGATTGATTTTAGAAATGTGACCCACTAATGAATTTGACAAAACTACAGATTTATTTTAAAATTCATTTTACAGACTGAAGAGAACGATTGTTAGATAAGAATAACAAGCTTGATATGAATAATTTATGTATTTCAAGATCCCCTTTAAAATTGGAAGATTTTATTCAGATTTTACCCCATTATCATAATCATAGGCTTTCAACTAGTTGAAAACCCATGTCATAATCAAATAAACAATAAAGAGTAAATGTTGTACTGAAATCATGAACTAAACATTCATTTAACATTCAGTTTAACATGATATAGTATCAATTGAATTTTACTTAGATTTACATGTAGGCATATCAGAAACGTTAATTGAATCAAATGAAATTTTGCAGTAGTTAGCTTGTGTCAACTTAATATTTTCAGAGCCAACACAGAAGAGAAGAAAACACACATGTCCGACATGCTTTAAAAAGATCAGGTATCTCAAAAAGCATTTCGAGCAGACTCACATGAAGGACCCCAAATGCAAGATTCCTGAAAATTACAAAAATGATTTTGCACATGAGTATACGAAGCAAAGGAAAACATCTGGGAATGTTCGGAAATACCAGTACAAACAATGCCAATCTTGTGGCAAAAGTGTTCAAAGGTTGGACAAACACAAATGTAAAAAGGATGTCACAATTGAATCAGCCACAAACAATTTCAATGAGAACCTTAACATGTTTGTCAAAAAGCTCATCTCACCATCAGGAGGTAATAAAAGTGAAGAAAGTGCCAACGTGACGAGCTGCGCAAAATGTTCGGTACATTGAAGACCTTCACGCTGGAGTTGGAGGATATAATCCTTTGGACTCAAACCTTCTGAATGAGAAATTTATAGAGCCCGCCTTGAGTGGAAAATTTCCACAAATCAAGCAAGCGTCGACCATTAAGTCATATTTAGAAAGCCTGCAAACTTGCCACCAGTACCTTCTATTATGCAAAAATCCATAGATTTTGCGCAATTTGAACTATTCAAAAAACAGAATAGACTATGGTGTAATTCTATGAATGTTAGGTCTGAGAAGCGGAAACTTGAAAACCAGTCCAATGATGCCGAAAACTTACCGACCAAAGATGATATTGTGAAATATTATGGTTCACAGTATGTCAAAGACACAAAATCTCTCTTTGGCAAAGCTAAAGTCAATATCAAAGAAATGTATGTAATGAGGAATTACATCATGACCGTTATATGCATTTCTAACGCCTGCCGTGCAGGACCTATAGTAAACTTGGAGTGCAGGCATGTTCGTGTCGCTGACAGGGTTGGAGACTGCTATGTTTACCATGTGAGTATACTGCACAATGATACAGCATAGCGAGAATGGTAATAGTTGGGTTTTATACAAGACTAGAGAGAATGGTAATAGATGGGCTTGATACAAGACGAGAGAGAATGGTAATAGATGGGTTTGATGTAAGCCTAGAGAGAATGGTAATAGTTGGGTTTTACACAAGACGCGAGAGAATGGTAATAGATGGGTTTGATACAAGACGAGAGAGAATGGTAATAGATGGGTTTGATGTAAGACAAGAGAGAATGGTAATAGATGGGTTTGATGTAAGACTAGAGAGAATAGTAATAGATGGGTTTGATGTAAGACTAGAGAGAATGGTAATAGATGGGTTTGATGTAAGCTTAGACAGAATGGTAATAGATGGGTTTGATACAAGACGAGAGAGAATGGTAATAGATGGGTTTGATGTAAGACTAGAGAGAATGGTAATAGATGGGTTTGATGTAAGCTTAGACAGAATGGTAATAGATGGGTTTGATACAATATGATAGAGAATGGTAATAGATGGGTTTGATACAAGACCAGAGAGAATGGTAATAGATGGGTTTGATGTAAGACTAGAGAGAATGGTAATAGATGGGTTTGATGTAAGCTTAGAGAGAATGGTAATAGATGGGTTTGATACAAGACGAGAGAGAATGGTAATAGATGGGTTTGATGTAAGGCTAGAGAGAATGGTAATAGATGGGTTTGATGTAAGACTAGAGAGAATGGTAATAGATGGGTTTTATGTAAGCCTAGAGAGAATGGTCATAGATGGGTTTGATGTAAGACTAGAGAGAATGGTAATAGATGGGTTTGATGTAAGCTTAGACAGAATGGTAATAGATGGGTTTGATACAATATGATAGAGAATGGTAATAGATGGGTTTGATACAAGACCAGAGAGAATGGTAATAGATGGGTTTGATGTAAGACTAGAGAGAATGGTAATAGATGGGTTTGATGTAAGCCTAATGGTAATAGATGGGTTTGATACAAGACGAGAGAGAGAATGGTAATAGATAGGTTTGATGTAAGACTAGAGAGAATGGTAATAGATGGGTTTGATGTAAGCTTAGACAGAATGGTAATAGATGGGTTTGATACAATATGATAGAGAATGGTAATAGATGGGTTTGATACAAGACCAGAGAGAATGGTAATAGATGGGTTTGATGTAAGACTAGAGAGAATGGTAATAGATGGGTTTGATGTAAGCCTAATGGTAATAGATGGGTTTGATACAAGACGAGAGAGAGAATGGTAATAGATGGGTTTTATGTAAGCCTAGAGAGAATGGTAATAGATGGGTTTGATACAAGACGAGAGAGAATGGTCATAGATGGGTTTGATGTAAGACTAGAGAGAATGGTAATAGATGGGTTTGATGTAAGGCTAGAGAGAATGGTAATAGATGGGTTTTATGTAAGCCTAGAGAGAATGGTAATAGATGGGTTTGATACAAGACGAGAAAGAATGGTAATAGATGGGTTTGATGTAAGACTAGAGAGAATGGTAATAGATGGGTTTGATACAATATGATAGAGAATGGTAATAGATGGGTTTGATACAAGACCAGAGAGAATGGTAATAGATGGGTTTGATGTAAGACTAGAGAGAATGGTCATAGATGGGTTTGATGTAAGACTAGAGAGAATGGTAATAGATGGGTTTGATGTAAGGCTAGAGAGAATGGTAATAGATGGGTTTTATGTAAGCCTAGAGAGAATGGTAATAGATGGGTTTGATACAAGACGAGAGAGAATGGTAATAGATGGGTTTGATGTAAGACTAGAGAGAATGGTAATAGATGGGTTTGATGTAAGCTTAGAGAGAATGGTAATAGATGGGTTTGATACAAGATGAGAGAGAATGGTAATAGATGGGTTTGATGTAAGACTAGAGAGAATGGTAATAGATGGGTTTGATACAAGACGAGAGAGAATGGTCATAGATGGGTTTGATGTAAGACTAGAGAGAATGGTAATAGATGGGTTTGATGTAAGGCTAGAGAGAATGGTAATAGATGGGTTTTATGTAAGCCTAGAGAGAATGGTAATAGATGGGTTTGATACAAGACGAGAGAGAATGGTAATAGATGGGTTTGATACAAGACGAGAGAGAATGGTCATAGATGGGTTTGATGTAAGACTAGAGAGAATGGTAATAGATGGGTTTGATGTAAGGCTAGAGAGAATGGTAATAGATGGGTTTTATGTAAGCCTAGAGAGAATGGTAATAGATGGGTTTGATACAAGACGAGAGAGAATGGTAATAGATGGGTTTGATGTAAGACTAGAGAGAATGGTAATAGATGGGTTTGATGTAAGCTTAGAGAGAATGGTAATAGATGGGTTTGATACAAGATGAGAGAGAATGGTAATAGATGGGTTTTATGTAAGCCTAGAGAGAATGGTAATAGATGGGTTTGATACAAGACGAGAGAGAATGGTCATAGATGGGTTTGATGTAAGACTAGAGAGAATGGTAATAGATGGGTTTGATGTAAGCTTAGAGAGAATGGTAATAGATGGGTTTGATACAAGATGAGAGAGAATGGTAATAGATGGGTTTGATGTAAGACTAGAGAGAATGGTAATAGATGGGTTTGATGTAAGACAAGAGAGAATGGTAATAGATGGGTTTGATGTAAGACTAGAGAGAATAGTAATAGATGGGTTTGATGTAAGACTAGAGAGAATGGTAATAGATGGGTTTGATGTAAGCTTAGACAGAATGGTAATAGATGGGTTTGATACAAGATGAGAGAGAATGGTAATAGATGGGTTTGATACAAGACGAGAGAGAATGGTAATAGATGGGTTTGATATGGATCCTTGAAACGTTTTTTTCTCGCCACACCCCTTCCCTTCGGACAGGCTTGGATTTTGAGCTCGGATGGGGCGATGTGTTGGTTTGCACAAGCCCCACAAACTCTCTCTATACCCATGCTGCATATGGTTGGGGGTTATATTTCAGTAGTTGAGGTGGCTCGCTTTACAAACCCCTCTTGTACAAGCTAAGGAGTGTCTGATGTCCACACAACATTACCATTTTGGTGCACCTTTATTGATCCTTAAGCTACTGTAGCCTCCTCCGAGGCCACCTCTGTATTCTAGAGACTTGAGTTACTGTAAAGTAGTGCTCTCCCCCCATTAGAATCACCGAGGCACAACATCTAAAGCACTAAAATGCTCCTCTATTCAATTGCAGGTGCAGTGAGGCAATTGTTTCTACCAAGGAGGCAAATGTTTTCAATGAGGCAAATATCATTGTTGAGGCAAGGCTGCAAGGGGGGTGCAGCAAAACCTGTAGGGAGCCCTCGTGTTACGGCCATGTCCCATTTGATCATGGAGATATGCTTTTATGATTTCAGTGATTTCTACAGGATTGTTTCTCAAGTGGGTGCAAAATTCTCAAAATATGTCATTTTTTCATAATTTTTCTCATTTTCAAGTGGGTGCAAATCACTTTTCAGGTGGGTGCAAGCCTTTTTTCAAAATCTCAAGTGGGTGCTGCACCCACTTGCTTTAATACTGGGGAGAACACTCTATTTGATGGAACTATCAGCTGTGTTTTCAGTCTTTTTTATTTTATGGGTAGGGGTGAGTTAAGATTAGAGTATCCTCCCTTTCTTCAAGCCAATCTTCCTATTTTAATTAAATCTAGGAGATCATTTCTTCATCATCCTCGGTAAGACACTCTTTATGGAATGAGTTGGAATTTTTACCGAAACAATGTGGAAGAAACTACAGCAGTAAAAGACAACCTGTTGACAAGAAGGCTGACACTGCACGCAGAGAGGCTGCTACATGGATTTTACTGCCCTTTGTGGCTTCTGCCCATTGTGCAATGACAGTAAGTACATGTATTGAAGCCACTTCTTTTCTGCACTGATTTGTTGCTGTTGTTCTGTTTATTGATTTCAGCTTGAAATTATAATGGAAGATAACAAAAATACATCCTTATTTTCAAGAATAAAATAAGCTACCATATGTACTTTGTAGATGTCTAGCAAAACATGCTCATGTCATATATAACATGGGACGGTTACAAGGAATAATGATAGTATGCAGTGATCTCCCCAGCATTAAGCAAGTGGGCGCAGCACCCACCTGAGAATGGATTTTGGAAATAGGGTTGCACCCACCTCAAAATCCATTGCACCCACTTGAAAATGAGAAAGATGAAAAATGGGCATATTTTGACCAATTTTGGTTTGAACTGTGAAAATGAGAATGTTGCGCCCACTTGAGAAAAAATCCTGTGGAGATCACTGTTATGTTCTGTTCTCATAATTGCTGGGTTTAGAAACCAAATATATTATGTACATAGTGCTATGTATAGGTGCACTATAGTGATTTTATTTTAATACTCAAAATTGAATAATTTTCCTCTAATGTTTACTTAACTTTATAGTCATTTTCCCAATTACAATATTTTGGCCTGGTATCCACTAGTCAGCTTTGTGTATGTGTTTACTATTAGAAATAAATTATGAATAGGCTGAATGGACCAAATAATCAAAATAATATTGACATATTTTTCTAGATTAATGTTGGTGCCAGGTGTCCTGATCTAAGAATGCACCAAGATGTCGTTAAGATACAAGACACTGGAGGTAATAATCATTACCCAGTTTCAACCATAGCAGAAGGCCCATGGTGAAGATATTTATGTTTACTAAGAGATGAACCCACTGGAAAATTATGTAAGTATGAATTATACATATTATGACAACAATTCTGATGGAAGTCTCGCATATTTTAGAAAATTTTCTTAATCAGTAGACCTACATATTTTCGACTTGAAATATAGCATTTGAGAATTATTCCATATTGAAAATAGTGCCAACGAAGCAGACAAACTCTTGAAAGGGTAAAGACAGGATTTTTAGTTCTAAAAATTATTTTCCCTAGGATTTCTATTATGTTATGTAATGTTATTCATTGCTTTGTATAATTCTTGCTGTATCATTACAACAATATTTCTTATGAACTTTTGCATAGTTGGACAATTTTCTGAATCAGTAAATATTTTCAAAATGACATTTGTAGTCAATAAGTTCAGAATAACAGGATCGTTTCTAACTTGATGTAATAGCATAGGTTGGGTTTTGTTATCCATTTCAAGTTGTTGATTTTCCCTTGGATATATTGATAAATGTTTAACTTTTAGGAAAACAAAAATAGTGAACAAAAGAACTTAAACTTGAAGTAGTCTCCTGGCACCATGTTTCCTTCCCTCAAGCAGAACTTAAAATTACAGTCCAAAATATATCCATATTCCATGCATATTGAATTATTTATAAAGACTGGTCTTCATTTATACATGTCTCAACATATTTCAGCCATATTATAGCCATATTATAGCCACTGTTTTCTTGGTATTCAGCATCTGTAACAAATTGTTACGCTTTTGTAAATAGTAACTGGTTGTGAAATTTTCATTTTTTTCATGTAAACACCATGTTACAAATTAGGAATCTTCTGCCCTCATATTGAATAAGAGTTATTTTACTGGCACCAAAATTTCAATTTTGGCCCTGTCATGTGAACAATATTTGGCATTTAGCCTAATTAGGTAAAAGAACTCATATTGTTCCCTTTTTGCTTTTCTTTAAAAAAATCTAGACAAGTCCAAAGTGGAAAGAAACCACAAACATGAATTTTAAATCTGGCTTCTCCATGCGTAATTTTTTCAAGACAGTGTCATCACTTTCAGTTTTTCAGTGTTCCCTCATTATTAATGCAGTAAAACCTGTGTACAAGGGTTGTTCAAAAAGTTTTGCACAAATATATCTAATTTTGAAAATAATGAACCAATCTTGTTCATATTTGGTAGGTATGTACCCCCATTCCCTTACACTGCCAAGTTTTCATGTATGTATGACTATTACTTAGCATTTTACGGTTACTATGGTAACCAAGGTTCATATCATTTTGTAAAATGAAAACCAGTAATATATAAAGCCCAATATCACAACACATGTCCAAATTTAATTACATAAGCTATCAACTTACGTCTAAGCAACATCTAGTATTGTTCTTATGACAACAGTGGTAACATATTAACCTGACTAACTGTTCAAAGAACAAAGATTGGCCAAGCAATTTTAGCCTTTCAAGGCATTCACAAAATAAATTCAATTTAATAATGTCATATGGACCATGGGACCATTGGTTCAAATTTTAAAGTCAATATATCTCAGGAAGTACATTGTGTATGGTCCTGAAATTTAGATATGAATGTAAGATAGGTGAGACTATACCCGTTGGGAATTTTATGTAAAAATTATAAAATCTCTTCTCTTGAGAAGCTTTCGTGCAAAACTTTTTGAACGACCCTTGTATATTGAACACTTTTTTGATGAGAAAAACTGTTCAGTGTTTGGAGATGTTCACTTAAGAGGATGATTTTTAGAGAAGTCAGGAGAGTATGTGCAGAGGAACAGTGTCTTCACTGGAGACGGGTCTTCACTAAGTCAGGTTTTATTGTATACCTCGTTATTCACATTGCTAATATATCGGGCAATGTATCAACTGGTGTTTCGAAATATATTCCTACAGAATTACAAAAACAGGCTTAGATTAAATAGTTCTGATCCCATGATATTTATTGGTCTGCCTTTAACAGTTCTAATGATTCTTTTCAGTCAAAGTGGGAACTGCTATGGAACAAGATACAACTTAAAAAAGAATAGAAATGGTTTTGACAATGGTAAGTGGATTTTTACTATTTTAACAAAAAATAAAAAATGTGTTTGAACTTAACATTGAATTGAATTCAAACATTCCAAATAATGTTTGAATTACTACCTGTAACCTCATTTTCTTTTGTAGTTTTATTTTAAAGAACTTTATTACGGCTATTACACTGAAACATATTACTCTAAAAAAGTTATGATGTGCTACTGAATAACTATGTCAATGGAAGTGTGTACCAAATGCAAACTTTCTTAATAGCTACATAAACATTCTATTTGTTCACTTGTTTGAAGCGTAAATATTGTTAGGTGGTTAGGGCCCAGCTACTGGGTGGAAGAGGTTAACTCCCAGGATTCATCACTTCAAATTAAAAAGTACAAAGGTGTTTTTATTTACAAGTCATTTGTTTGCATTTTTGAAGCAAAGTAAATATGTTATGAACTGCACTATTAACCACAGGGCATCATTGACATTTCACTGATATGTACAGTTGTTTAGATGGTTAGTTTAAAGTTTAAACATATCCAACAATGAACAAGTTTTGATTGAATTTTAATGAACCATTCGCATTAGGCTGGAATCTGTACATTTGGCTTTACTTTGAGGCTATAGGTCTATCAACAGGAGTGTGTTGACATAATAGTTGAGTGGGGGCGATGGGGGGATATTGGAGATGCGTACCCTTTGGGAGACATTATTGCGTCTCCTTGTCTGCCTCAAAAAACAAGAAATTAATTTTCATTTTTGTTGATTGTAAGGTCATTAATTCAAATTATTTATTTAGTTATCCACATTTCATTTCTATTTGGATTATGGGTTTGGTCACCCTCCTTTGTTTTGGGCAGATATTCAAGGGTGTGATGGTTTACCCAGCCACTTTCCCAAGTAAATCAAGGCTAAGAATGTATCACGTTTTTCAAGGAGTATAACTAAATTGTAGGATTTCATGATTGGAGAACAACATATGACATATGGCACCAAATATGTTGTTATTCATGAGTTGACAGTGTGCCAGACATAAACAATGCTCAATTATAAGCTACCAGGTTACCACTGCAGAATAGCATGCAGTGACAACTTACAATTTCAGGAATAAAATATCTAACAATCTGACAATTCTAGCTGAATACTACTTTGGAGGATTATTTCCATTACTGGCTTCAGTTGTCATGAGCTATGAATAAAACATGTACTGATGACACTCAATTTTTATGAGATAATTATTATTGATAAAATGAGAAGACTGAATGAGAGGACTGGATGTTTTAAACTTTAATTCTGGTAGATTACAAATGATGCATAAATCTAAAGGGAGCATAACAAATTTAACACAGGTTTGTGAATTTAATTCTTGTTTATTTCATAATAAATCGTATTTTTGTGCCATATAATTTATCTACCAGCTTCTACTGGCTAATTCGGGTCAAATAATATGGCAGATATAGGGAAAAGTTCCTCTAAGCTTCAATATTTAGTTGATTTTCATATGATAATTATAAAATTGATAATATATTCAGTAATTACTAAAAGAAAATATCATCTGGCCAAGATATTTCACTTTCATGATTTTTAACATGGACTCTATGGGGACCTACAAAAGTCACATTTTCAAAAGGAAACTGAAATTTCAAAGTTGACAAACACAATTTAAAACCACATTTTTAGAGATGTAATTATACATGGAGATTTCAAATATCACATCACTTTGACAGAATTTTGAATATTTAACAACAAAAATCAAGATTATTTGTTCAGTACTTGCATCTAGTCTTTTGATGATTTGAGGGATCTGGTAGGGTCCAGGTCTTGGTTTGTTTTCTGTTTCGGTAGTGTGATAAACCTTCAGCATTCTTATTGCATTAACTTTGTTTTTTTTTGCTTTTTTTGTTTTTTTCATAGATTCATTTGTTGTTTTGTCAAAGTAACATTCTGAAGTAAAGTTCAAATTACCACTAAGGCTCTGGCAGTGGAGGAAGAGCACTTGTTGATTGCAAACAATTGTTTTAGATTGTCATTGGTGTGATGAGTACATACAGCTTTAACTCAGAGGAATTCTGTGTTATTTCCCTTTGAATGTGTTTCAACTTTACATAAATTCATAATTTCATGGGTTTCTTAATTGTGTGTTTTGTTGATTATTGAATTGCTTATGACATACAGTAAACATTTTGATATAAAATTTGATGCACATTTTAAACATATGTGTGAGACACTACAAATTAGCATCATTGTACAGTGTTTAAAAAACTAAAATGATCAATCCCCATAATATATTTTTGGTTCATATTTTATTTATACTGTACTTAAGACGCATTACAATGATCATGTGTCACGCTTTCTGCTTCCAAATAGAAGCTAATGTATTGCAACTCTACATGCAAAGGTCACCTCACTCACTTTGCCAAAATTCACAATCTATCGCCATATTGGAAGTGTCAGCTTGTGAAAAGGCTTCATACATAGAGATTGTTGGATGCATCATAGTTAAAATCATATCTTACACTGGATAGTGAGATTTTTACGGACATCGCAAAATTAAGAAATCAGGTATTAGAGGTTATCATTTATTTCTGATTCAAACTTTTACATTGAAACAAATACACTTTACAATAATACTTTTCATTACTTCATAATAAATAAAATAATTTCACATTAGATAGTGTCAAGCTGTATAAATTTATATATTGAGTACACCTATATAATATTATATAAATACATTATGGTATACATGATGTAAATTAACATTTGTTTGGAGCATATCGTTAATTCGAATTTCATTTTTATATTAGCTCTGTATATATGTAGAATTGAAACTTGTATCATAGTTTGAACTTTGGTATATCGATTGGTAAATCACTATATGAGGGGTATACGTTTATTTTGTATTTGGTCTCGTTCATCTTTTCTGCAATGTTTTTAAGTTCTACATTTTAGAATTCAAAGCGACAAAAGATGTCTCTGAACTTTTATTTTAGGTATACCAATATGAGCTGAATAAGTAATAAAATTCTACATGAATACAATGATACCACACACATACAATAATACTACACACTTACGATAATTCTACTCATATACAATAATACCACATACAGTTATTGGATAGAATACTTTATTTAATCACGAACAGATTTCTAGAGAGATGAATTACATGTGTACATTGCCTGAGGTACTAATATCATTTGATTGGTTTTTGTTACATAACGGATGATCGTTGTATTTTCAATTTAACTTTCATTCACAACTATTTATGCAGTAAGTATTGCAAAAATATTTACTTTAATAAATAGCTTATGCAAATATTGGTAACATTTAATATGAATTTAAAGATTATCTATGTAACCAGTTTTCATAGACATGACATCTAAGGGTCCTTGATCACATATGGTGATGTATTAACCAGTTTAATAAATGTTATTGATATGTCTACTAGTTTAATAAATGTTATTGATATGTCTACTACTGTATATTACGGATATTAGGGAATATTTCAGTTCTCTGAGTTAAAAAAACAAAATATTTTGTTAAATGGAAAAATCTATTGCAAAGACTTTAAATGACCTTTTTGTAAAACATGAACCAATTGTAGTCAGATGCTGTAGAATAAGCCTTTTTAGATCCACTCCATTTTTTAGAATCATTCCTCCAGAGGAAGGCCTATACTATGTATCTTGGACCCCATTTTGAGGGGTCAATTTTTGAATCTTCTCCCTTATTACAGAATGAGAAACATAGCAGGGATATTACGAATGAAAGAAGGTATTGCCCCCAATAGAATGGAATATTCGTTTTATAATTAACTGTTATGCTTATTTGTACAATGTATGTTTTTACCCACCATAATATACCTTGGTTAAACATACACTGGCATGTAGCGGCCCTGATATCGATAAATTCTACACGCAATATAACCCGATTTTACACGAAAAAGCCTCGATATCCGGGCATTTACTCTTACACTGAACTGAAAATAGCATCGTCTAAACGTGTATGTGTTGGCTTCCGGGTAAGTTTATCAACATTTATACTCAATTGAAAGAGCAGTCGTGCTTATATCGTGTACCAGTTTGATTAATTTATATGTGTGTGTATTTATAATATGATAGCCTAGTGATACCGTGTCGTTAGAACAACTGCTAGATATCGAACTGATGACCTGAAATTAGATTATTGGACTGATCGCGCATCTGATATTAAATGATTAATTTGCATTGAATCTGATATTAACTTGCAACCCAATACCATGACTCTACATTTGAATGATAACACGGCCTCATATTCTAATTCATTATACGTCCATTGCAGGCCAAAAATGTTTCAATGTGGATATTGTAATGCACACGAGAATACATTCGATTCGTATATTGATCATACATCAATTGAACATAGAGATTTTCCTGTACACTTTTCCAAAACCTGTGGAATAGACTAGATGCGAGTAGAAATTATCTTGATTTATCCTATGCCAAGTTAGGTTTTAGGGAGATAAGTTGGTAAGATATATCCCGTATCCTGATTTTGAGGTTTCCATATCAAGAACCTCCATATCTCCCACCATATCTCTCGCTTCGGTGCATATCTTCCCGCTTCGTGGCATATCTTCCCGCTTCCAAAAAAGTGGAAATGCAATAAAATGACTTTGCATATGAATGATTTGTTTATTTTTATCGCACCCTTAGGTGCTATATTGTAATCAGTTTGCCGGGCGGTTGGGCGGGCGTCCCGAATTATCTTGTCTACAGGTTTCCAGCCAAACCGTTTGAGGGATTCATTTGAAATTCTCAGGGATGTTTCTACCAATGAAATTTTATAACTCATTTGTTTTTCGGCATTCTGGGCATATGTAAAGGTGGCCATTTTAGATTTTTCCATCCCGAAAAGTGTATTCTGTTCAAGGGTGCGATTCTGTTCACCGTGTGGCTTATTTACACCTTGTACTACTGAAAACTCTACTTGGTATAGGATAAAGCAGTTATGTACGGTCGGTTTGGATATTGGGTTCATCCCTCGTGAGATATGCACATCTACTTTCGGTCCCTATGGTCCCTCAGGTAGATATGCATATCTACCTCTGGATAAACCCAATATCCAAAACCTCCCAGTACATAACCCTTATTTATCCCATGGTTACAAGGATATAGATCGAATATCACGTGAAGATATAATTGATACGTGAATGAAGATATCATATTTTAGCAAACAATTCCCAAATCATCGAATATCACTTTTGAAACCATCGAATATCACAATTTGAAAGGTGATATTCGATGGTTTCAAAAGTGATATTCGATGGTTTTGATTTTTTCAATTTTTTTTATTAATTCAGCAAAACGATTGTTTATATATTTTTAATTTTTTTGGATCTTGTTTTTACAGCGTTCGCATTAAATACAAACCACTCTGTTACGTCACGTATATGACGTTCGTTGAATTATCGCAATCAAAATGTCACTTATATCCACTCATGGATATCAGTATCTTCACTCACTCGCTGCGCTCACTCGCGAAGATATCAATATCCACTCATGGATATAAGTGATATTTTTTCAAAGCCATAGGATATTCCTATATTATTCCATAGTTAGCATGATATCCATAGGATAACATGTCAAAATAAAAACAGTATTTTTGAAATCAGTGGTAAAATATGATATTTTTGACAAATTTTCACTTAACCATAGCATACGGTGTTTTAGCCATGACATACGGCGCCGTATGCCATGGTTTATGGATTTTTGCTACTTCAGATTCAAAACGAGGCTAAGTGTCAATATCGCCGTATCGTTTTGAAAATTCGTTTTAAATCACTTAATTCCCGACGATTCTGATGATGACTTTAACTATGGAATATAAAGAACATCCTATGATTTACTCGTGATATGATTTTAATCCACTCATGGATGTTGATATCTGCACTCTCTCGCTACGCTCACTCGTGCAGATATCATATCCATTCGTGGATAAAAATCATATCACTCATAAATCATAGGATATCCTCTACTTAAGATGTGATATTCGATAGTTTAAAAGTGATATTCGATAGTTTGTAAATTGTTTGCTAAAATATGATATCTTGATCCACATATCAAATATATCATCATGTGATATTCGATCTATATCCTTGCAACCATGGGATAAAGCTTTACGTCCCGCTCCGAGCTACGTCATAATCGCCGCTCACATATTTGTTCATAATTTGTAACGTTCACGGAATGACTGTAAACGGCAATGGAGAAAACACAGACAATCGGGGTCTGTTTGAAGGAGCATCCACTTAATCAATAAAAAATTCGAGAAAATAAATATGGGAATATTTGAGAGAACATTAAAATCCGCCCACGGCCAAGAAAACTGGACATGAATATTCTAAAATATTTCCACGATTTAACAATGTGAACCAGATGACCAAGATTGGTATGGGATAAACACATTATCCTATAGTCGGTTCAGGATATTGGGATTATCCCTTGGCTAATATATAGGGGTTATGCACTGGGAGCTTTTGGATACAGGGAATATCCCGAGGGATATACAATATATCTTCCTGAGGGACCGAAGGGACCAAGGGAAGATATATATCCCTCGGGATATTCCCTGTATCCAAAACCTCCCAGTGCATAACTGTTGTATATAGTTTAGCATGATATGTACTTCTTTCTGTAACTGGAATACGATTCTAATATACAAGCAACACATACGTATTCCCGGGGAACCATAAATATTTTGTGTAGTGTGTGGACATTTTTCTGTTCATTTCTCTAAAATCAGATTATTCTCATAAAATTCATACAAAGTTGGGCCTAAGCCTCTATTTTCGTATTCTGCATGTTAAGATATTTATAATGTAAAACCTAAGAGATAAATTCAATGTCTTCAGTTGAGAATAAGTATAAGGTAAATGTGTGAATTCTGCTTGTTGTTGCACTATTTTTATAATAAACAAGGTTCGATACACAACACTGAATAGACTGCACTCATAGCTTAGTTGTAAAGAAAACAAAAGAAGTTGGGACGTGGTCATGCTTGAATACGATTTTAAATATATCGCTGTTTACATTTGTTGAAATCGGCCTGTATTAATTTCAACAGGTGATCGGTGTACAAGGGCATATATTTGAGTTATTGGTTTAATGATAAGTATGACCTATGAGTGGGTAATGTTTTACAAATGCATGAAACAAATACTCCAATGGCCTAATCTCAATTTTCTTGCATAAACTATTACATTGAAATGGTGGTCATTTGCTCTCTAACTTCCGCACCGCATACGTAACTTCGTAACAATTCAATAAGCCAAGACAGGACCGCTATAATCGCTACATGCCAGTGAACATACATGTATACATTTTTTTGGCCAAATGTCACATTTTAGCATTAACAGCATGAATTACATTTACAGTCAAACTTATGTGTATTGAACATTTTTTGGCCAAGAAAGAATGTTCAGTGTTTCATAGGTGTTCACTACAGAGAGGATAATTTATACAGATGTCAGTAGAGTATGTTTGGAGGAAAGGTGTCCACAAGAGGCAGGTGTTCACTAAGACAGGTTTTACTGTAATCTAGTTTAAGCCATTACAAATCCTTGGATCATTTTGCAACCATAGTATTTACCTTAATTGAAACAATTTGTATTTTATTGTAGTGTCTATGGGGAATGTGACATCTGGAAGCTGAATCTGAGATAAGTACCAGATATGGCATCTGTAGAATCCTGGGGGGCAGACAATACGACCCTTCAACACCTGAAAAATGATTCCAACTCAGGTAAACCATTCATAAAATAACTCAATTTTCTTTCAGTGTCCTTGGATTAGTGATCTATTAAAAACTTGACATTTGATTCTTTGATTATTGGTAAATGGGACCCTCGCAAAAAAGTTCAAATTACCCCTTACCATATTTTTCCTCTTCAGCTAATATATTGATATGGCAGATTAAAAAATAAATAGTTGAACATTAGATATGCACAGGAAATCCTATGTATTTGTCAAAATATCAGCTTTAACTGTCCTTAATAAACTAGCCTTATATTCATTTGTTTTGTTAAACTTTTGAAAAGGGAAGACAAATATTGAGTTGCATCATAAGCCATTTAATCCAACATACACAGAGTGCTCAAAGATTACTGCATTCAGTAAATCTAAATCTCTAAAAATTGATATCACAATTTCTATAGATGAAGAGCCATTTCCTTCCTCGCTCCTTTATCGATTCACAATTCAATTTTCTGAGCTCAATTTCAGTGCCAATCATGTGTTAAATTGTCATAAGTTGTATTGAATTTAACCTACCCTGATCTCATTAGCTAGAACACTACCCTCTTAATAAGACCAATTATTTTGCAGTTTTTCATTTAACCAATCAGACTAAACTTTTTAACTAAAAGACTCATTAATATTTTATTTTTCATTCATTTAGAATCAATGGAAATGATTTAGAGAATAATTATAGGGGATGACATGCTTTGATTGGCTCAGCTATTGCAGAGCTTATTTTGTAGTTAAAAGAGTGTAGATTTGATGACTGTTGTAAAGGGTACATTAGCCCCTACCCCATTAGTTGTAGGAGGGTTATTGACTTGGCTAAGGGTCAAGTTCTGGCTGACCGGAAAGATCATGTCCGATAGAGAATGTTCCTAGGATAGAGATAGAGCATTAAAATGATACACATTATGTAAAAAAATGAAGAAAAACTCTGACCGCATACAATTATGTTTGAGATTAAAATGGAATTGTTTATTTAAAATGCGGTTATTAAACAATCAAATGCTTGGCTGACACAAAAGAATTATGCAAGAAAGAAAAATATTTTAAAAATAACTATAAAAATGGAATTTTTTTAAAATTGACATGTAAAAGAATTTTAATACATTGCTTTGACATAATATGCATAATATTCCTATATATGGATTAAAAGAGTAGTTCAAGATGGTTTCATGAGATTTAAAAAGGAGCAAATAAAGAATGGCAGGATGTATGTCTTTGACTCTGGCATTAATGATAGCACTCACAGCACTATGTCAGTTAACATTCATGCTTTGGCTTCTCATTGACAATTCTGGTAAGCTTTTTTATGTCTCCACCATATATTGTCTCCAACTTTCTTGTGAACTGTATTCGGCATTCAGCGGTTGGCATCTGTAAAAAATGGCAGGTGGGGACATTTTTAATGTTAATGGCTTGTCATATTGATACATTATATACTGCCTCAATTGTCATATATGCCAGGGTGTAGTTAGCTTTCAGTCAGGGGGTGCGATTGTGGCATAAACAAGCCAAAAAAATAAGATTTATTTTGAATTTTACAAAAATTGATGCAACTTCCTTCAAAATGGAGCTAGAAGTTTCAAATAAGATATAAATCTTCTTCTTTGTCATGATTTTATTTTCCACCCATCGCACCCCCCCCCCTGGCTACGCCAGTACGCCTATGAATGCGTACACATTCTCATACGATGTGTGTATGAATATAAAATTACTGTCTTGCTTATTTGTGTTTTTACATTTGTTTTGTTAAATGTGATGACTGAAAAAATGTATATCCTCATCTTGAAATGTTATTATTTGATTTTAATTGCCATTTTAGGTCCATCTGTTGATGAAATAGAAGGGGACCCCCAGACAGAATTAGTATGGGCATTTCTATGTTCAGCGTTTACCATATTTGGACTTCTACTTGCCACTCTTGTCTACTGCAGGTAAGTTTGCCCAGTTTCTGCTTCTTTATTAATATTTTATTTATTCATTCTTAATGATAGACAGACAAAAATAGGATATCACAATCTAGTCTTGGGGAATTTATGTTTAGGAAGGTTTAAAATATTTTTCTTTTTCAGAAAAAGGTATCTTTCTCCAAACAATATTAGGAAGAGAAAATTAAAGAGCATACAAGATAAGAAAGGTATGTTTTTACTGTGTTCAGTAAAGGTATATCATTTATAGAACTTGAAAACTGTGTAGTTCCTAAGTGAACCCTGGTATTGATGAATGTGCATAACTCAAAAATGTGTACTAAAGAAGAGAGAGCGGGCCTGTAGCCAGGGAAGTCAGGGATTCAGTTTTCACCATTCATGTGATTTGGGGTCATAGTTGAGCCAAATGTGACCACCCTGGAATATTTTGAAAAGTGAACCAACCTTGGCAAAAACTGGATACTTGTCTGAAAAGTAAAAGTGATAAAGTCTAGTACTGTATTGTTAATTGATTGTTGATGTATTTCACTAATTTTAAGGATGTTTAAACTTCGATGGTACTGAGATGAAATGATGATAAAATTATGAAGAAAATAACTTCAAGTGAGTCATGACACAGGATTATAGGAGTCATTAAACAAAATTGCATAGAAATGAATTTGAAATTAAAGTAATTTGTCATAGACTGTAAGAGCTCAAAATTTTCTAATATTAAATATTAAATCAATGTTATTGGTCATAATAATTTTGTATCAATAGCTATGGGCCGTCATGTCAGCCTTTGATCTTCTAATCCATAAAATCACAATTTTTCATGTAAATAAATATATAAGAATTGAAAATCATAACCAATATGGTCTTAATTCACAGTTTGATTGTTGATCTCCAAGATATAAGACATGTGCCAAAAAAATCAGTCAGGGATTATTGTCTGAGTGAAAGCTTTATTTTAAGTGTCACCTGTGAATTGTTAATAGCAGATACCATACAAGTTGTTTCTTCCACACTTGTAATCCTCGATTCTTATTGGTCAAGAGGTGGTCATTAATTGTAACAGTTGACTGCACACTGCATTGTCAACCTGTGGTATCAAATGGCAGTTTTGGGATATTTTTTAACAGTCAATCTCTGACATTTTAAAAAAAATCAGAAAGAAAAAACACTTTATTCTGGTGTATGAAAATAAATCTTGATTGGGAAAATAGATGTCACTAGTAGACACTATTTGAGACTCGGCACTCAAACATAATGTCAACCTTTTCATGGAAATGTTATTGCATGTATCTAAACTCACTGTTTGTCCAAAGCTAACATTTGCCAGATTTTGATAGTGAGTTATATTTACACAAGATCAATGATATGTGTGGAGAACAAATGTGTAGATTGCTTCATGAAATAATTTGTTTTCTCTGATTTTTGGAAACAGCATTAGCATTAGTTCCACTTCAGTATACATTGCTTTAGTTAATCCAAAGTTTTTATCCTCCCTTTACCCTATTTGCATTGTGGCTTGATATACTGCCTGTCATTCGAGTATATAAAAATATCAAAATTTCATTGCTATGTTGACTTTAAATGATTCCTACATTTTATTTACATTGTTTGGATAATTTCCCCTTGGTCTTATAGAATCCTAACAATTGCAACAAAAGATGCTTTATAATCAGTAACATTTGCTGAATTTTGTTTGCTTGTTTTTACAGGTTAAATGATTATTACAATCTTGTGCTCATAAACTGTTATGGAATGAAACAAATCAGAATATTCAAATTTTAGAATTTGATTAAAACTTTCCAACAAACACAAATAACCAATAATAAAAACGATTTGTTTCTTTCTTTCTTTCTTTTCTTTGATTGAGATTTGAGATATTACGTCAATGTAAAACTAATATTAAATAAATGACATAATATTTACTCAATTCAATTTTATAAGTCATCTTATGGGTCAAAAAATTATTTAATGTTGACATTATGACCAAAATGGTGAAACAAGATTATGCTGTAAAGAGATTATAAAATGTTACAGTTCAAAATGTAATATTGGTGTTTTTACCTGGACTTACTGCCTTGAAGCATTAGATTGTAAAGATTAACAGGTAAAGTTGTGCTAAGCCTACAAGTGTAAAGGCTTATAGCAGGACATAGGCTCGCTCAAGTTTTAATGTAACAGATTTAAGTGCCTATTATAGAATGTATTGAATTATATTGAAGAACAACCTCATTCCAGCAAATACAGTCAAAATGACAGCGCGTGAGCTGAAAAAGCTTAAACCTAGATTTCTGGGTATACCTCAGACAAAATTTAAAGAACCATTTGAGTTTTCTTTCAAACTTGAAAAGGGATTTGATCGCAAGACGCGACTTTACTTCAGTGCAAAGCAGACAGATTTCAGAATTCCTATGTACCCTGGGAAGAAATCAAATGTGAAGAAACTAACGATACTATGTTGTGGTCTTATAGCAAAGGAAGTGAAGCTGGTGGAGTCAGTAACTGGACATCCTGTGCCCATTGGGGAATTTGTCAGCCAGTATGCGTACAAGGCCAAGAAAAATCTAGTAGACATAGAATTCCAGGTAAGTGTTGTCTTATAGTTTGTCCCTAAAGAACACCATATACGGATTTCTGCTCAAAGAGAAACTTCATTTGTAGAAATTTTCAATTATTTATTGTGATATCTGATTATTACAGATACATGTTGTCATCAGATATGTTCAATTGTAGGCTCTGGAGCTCAACCAAGAGACTGATCACAGCACCGGGTTTGCCAATCTGGAGGAGAATCAGAAAAAGAATTCATATCCCGATGTCTTGCCATGTAAGTACATTATCCTAATATTGTATTATGATTGGTCCTTTGTAGGTAACTGTTTGCCCACGGTTTATGAAAACCTACAAATTTAAAAACTCAACTTTTTTGTAAAAAGAACCTGACAGAAATTTTCATCTTTCTTGACAAGTTTGTGCTGAAGTTGAATTACCTCACATGTCAGTGTAGATGAATATATTTAGATATCAATACCAGACTATAATTACTTTGACATGATTGAAATGAAGATAGATCAAACACAATGGCATTGCACATTTACCATATTCTCTCTAATGGACGCACAACCTATTTTTCCGTGAAATTATCTGGTAACTTGAGTAAAAAATCAAGAGAAAAATGAAAAATTTGAAGTTGGGCAATGGTAGGGTTAATTGAATAATCCACTAACCATTGTCAATTAATAGGCCGTTTCTGTGCACAATGCTGTTACAGACGTGTCTCTGGAATCTTTAAAGTACATTGATAGCCTTAAAGTGATGAGTTAAAACCTACAATGAACCTAATATTCAGCCAGTCGATAATTGCATGAGAAAAACATCGAGGTATGACATTATGTGATCTAGTCAGAGTGAGTCCACTCTTTAAGAGGAAAATCATGAAATACCCTTTTTAACCCTTTTTTAAAAATCCTGGGGATTTTGTAATTTGAGACATCTCCTCGAGGAGAATTGGGTGATGCATTGTGCGTTTAATAAAGCGAATATGATAAATGTTTTATTATGAAAAAACTTTATTTTGGAGTCCACAGGAAGATTATGGAGAGCAAAACTGGAGCCAATTGTGTTTTATTCTATGATGAATATATTTTAAGATGTAGCTTTGCTTGTGCCATTGCAAACCTCTGCTTTCAGATGACTATAATAGGGTTTTGTTAGAGGAACCCAAAGATTATCCATTAACAGATTATATCAATGCCACATATTTGGATGTAAGTTTTGTATAGTATAATCTGCCACTCTTGTTCTATAAATCAATGTCATGGTAGTCTGGCTGGTGTTTGTCTTCCTTTAACCCCCCCCCCCTTCTTGCATACCTCACCCCAACATGGTAAAGTCGATTTTTTGGGGGGGGTCCTTGATGTAAGACGAGGCTGATGTCATCAGTTGTGCAAGCAATTGTACATATGCTATTTTGGATATGTATGTGGAAATTAGTGGTCCAAATGTCACTGAGTCATTGTGGGATATCTTGCAGAAAAATGTTCATTTAAAAATGAATATTTATTTTATTGAATAAAATATGACCATCATGTCACAATTGATGTCAAGTTTAATGGACATTATGCTTTTACAATATTCATTCCTTCGTTTTCTTTCCTTTGTAGTCTCTGGAAAAGTAGTCTTGTTGCGGCGTTGCCCCATGTTTTCTATATTTGTAGAAGTATTCAATTAATATACAGATGTACTGTGTAATAAAGCATTAACACTCTCAGCCAGAATAAAGGGACTTGTTTACAATACAAGGGTACATACATCAATTAATTTTGCTTCATAAAATAGCCTCAACATATAAGATAAGAGGCTATTTTTATCAGATTTCTATGTTTGTGACTTATTGAAAACAAATAATTTCCCAATGCAGTATTTAAGGAGGATGTACCCTTGATGTATTTCTGTTATTAGAATCAAGTACATGCAGAGTTGAAGTGATAGTCTTTGTACATCAGATTCCTAGAATGGAGCTGCTATACCTTCAATCCCTCATCAATGAATGAGCTCCAGGCCCATAGCCAGGATTTGCCAAGGGGGTTCACTTTTTGAAAAATTCCAAGGGGTTTCACTTGTGACAATTTTGGTCCAAAAATGGCCCAAATCACTTAAAAAGTGTTCAGAATGGTGAAAAACTGCATGATTTTGAAAGAATTTTGGGCCAGGGGGGTTCGGCTCAAACCCATCGAACCCCCCCCCCCCCCTGGCTACGGGCCTGAGCTCATTTACTGCAAAGGGGTAAAAGTATCTGCTCTGTATGCTTCATTATTGGTACTGTAATTGTTTCCCAAGGCGTTTCTAATAAACAAGGCCCTTTAAATGGTGTTTAGATTAGATTTAAAGGGTTATGGCAGATTCCCTCTTTAATAATCTTTTAATTGATTTTTAATAACAACATGCACAGCGTACCTGCAGCAGTATATACACAGAGGCAAGGGATACCTGACTTTACTAATACACCCAAAACTCTGAAAATGCATGCTACATCTTGTTAACTCTTTCCATTTTGTGTTATACTAATTATTTTCAGTTGACCATAACAGAGTGATCCTCCAGGAGGACACAGGGGATGATTACCCCACAGACTACATAAATGCTTCATATATTGATGTGAGTAGATCACTGAGTATATAAATGCTTCATATATTGATGTGAGTAGATCACTGGGTATATAAATGGTTCATATATTGATGTGAGTAGATCAAAGAGTATATAAATGATTCATATATTGATGTGAGTAGATCACTGGGTATATAAATGCTTCATATATTGATGTGAGTAGATCACTGGGTATATAAATGGTTCATATATTGATGTGAGTAGATCAAAGAGTATATAAATGATTCATATATTGATGTGAGTAGATCACTGGGTATATAAATGAGTCATATATTGATGTGATTGCTTCATATATATTGATGTGAGTAGATCACTGGGTATATAAATGATTCATATATTGATGTGAGTAGATCACTGGGTATATAAATGATTCATATATTGATGTGAGTGCTTCATATATATTGATGTGAGTAGATCACTGGGTATATAAATGCTTCATATATATTGATGTGAGTAGATCACTGGGTATATAAATGCTTCATATATTGATGTGAGTTCTTCATACACACAAATTGACATTTGGATTACATGCTTTGTTTTATAAATCATAAACTAAATTCTATTGATTAAAGTCAAATGTTTTGTCTTCTATCATGGATACCTAATAAAAGTTTTCATGTAAAGGTAACATTTTAAAAAATTGAGCTTCGGAGGTATCTTAAATTGAATTTCTGTACATTTCAGGGATATAGCAAACCAAAGGCCTATATTGCAGCAATGGGTAAGTCATTATATTGTATTATTATTTGTCTGTGATATCTTTCAGAAAACTAAATCACGTTCTTTCCTTCTTGCACAAATAAGCATGATGTAAAAGTTGTGTAAATACTAAATTGTAATCCAGATTGTATGATTTTTTTGCAGGACCAAATAAAGACACAATGGGAGACTTTTGGCAGATGGTCTGGCAGGAAAATGTGCACTGCATTGTTATGGCATCAAATCTGTTTGAACATGCTAGGGTAAGTCACAAATCAGTATAGCCTCCACAAATAGCTTTAAGGGTCAACATCTGTAAATGGAAGATACTCTCCAGGTTTTATATTGGAGAGCTTGCCAGTTCAGTCTGTCAACTGCAGCATTAAATACTTGGCAGAGTTTGGAAAAGCTCATGTAAAATTTTATCAAAGTCTGAGTGCAAAATTAAGGACACTCATTCTTTGTGCAAAGAGCATAGGCAGTCAACAGTGCTTAATAAGAGTAATACCTGTGTACAGTGAACATTGGAGCCAAACAATGTGTTCACTATAGGTAGGTGTTCACTACAGAGAGGCAATTGTTTACTCGGTGGAGTATGTGCTGAGAAGAGGTGTTCACCAAACACAGGTGTTAACTAGAGGTGCTCACTAAGGCATATTTTACTGTGCTTCTTATAAAGATGTGTAGTCTTGAAGGATCTCTTAATTACTTGGACTTATTGGTTACATTTTTGTTTTCGTGTAGCAACAATGTGAGCGCTACTGGCATGGAACCCATGGTCGCTATGGTGACATCGAGGTGTGGCTCATGGAAACAGTTGTCACATCTGAATTTACTATAAGGATGTTCAAAGTAATGAGGGTATGTATCAGAGTCAAATGTAAAGAGAATATCTACATGTATAGAAAATGAACCACATTGTTCAAAAGCTTAAACACAAAAATAAACAACACTTGAACCACACGTTTTTTGTATACTAAGTTTACATTGCATATAATTGGACCAGAAATGCTTGACAATTTGACTCATGATATCCCTATGCCAAACATATGTATACATTGATTTATTTCAGGAAGGCTATAAGGATGAGCGCTTTGTACAGCACTATCAGATCAGTAGTTGGAGTGAACATGACTGCCCAGATGAGAGTGCAGTCTTGGAATATAGAAGGGTCATCAAGAGCTACATGGCCAATGTTCCCGGACCTGTCCTTGTGCACTGCAGGTATATTTACAATTGATGCCCCAGTTTTATCTCACTTTTTATGTCTCGGCATTTCCAACTACATAACTTCATGTACAATTGTGCAATGAAAGTATATTATAAAACCTGTGTACGGTGAACACCCACAGAGCCACAAAAATGTGTTCACTGTAGGTTGGCGTTCACTACAGAGATGGAAATTTATACAGAAGTCAGTAGAGTATGTGTGGAGGCAGCTTGTCTACAAGAGAGGGGTGTTCACTAAGACAGGTTTTAGACTACATAACTTCATGTACGCCATAAATTGAGAAACAATCTGATATGTGATATTTCAGCTCGGGTGGTGGCAGGACAGGGGCATTTATAGCACTAGACATTATTCTCGAGAGGATTACGAGAGAAAAGAATGTCAGCATTTTTGACACGGTGTTGTATCTACGAAACAGAAGACAGAATATGGTCAACAATGTGGTAAGCTGCATTTACTATTCCATGAAATAAAATGTGAAATCAAATCACCTGCAGTACATCTTTGTATGTCTTTTACTCTATCACCCCCATGAGCCTTTTCCAATTTTACAAGGTCTGTTGTGCTTTAAAACCATGTAACAGTGCCAAAAGTGATTGATTGATAACCCATAGATTATCTAGAACAAACAGGATATAATATACAGTTTAAAATCTATTATGTCATTTAGTTAATGCATTTTTATCAATGAAATATATATTCGCTTACAGAGATACAGCTCACAGCCAACCTCTTTAATCTACATCATATGTGTTTATTAATTTGTAGGAGCAATATGATTTTATATACAAGTGTGTTTGTATGTATGTGCAATGTGGAGTGACAGTCATACCTGCCTCTCAACTGCCCATGGTGGTGCAGAGCATGTCTCTTAAGGACAGGCAAACGAAGCTGAATGGCTTTGAACGGGAATACCAGGTTGGTGATTTTTGTGTTTTTAATCATTTTACAAAAAAATATGTTACGGCTGTTAGTTTAAAGCAGAATGCAAATAGGTAAAATCAAGGTGTTAAAGATAATGACAACCATCTTTGACATGACGATTACAACAACAAAAAAATCATTATGTGTATTTCCAGACATTGAAGGATGTAGTACCTAAGTTATCAGTTGGAGAATGTGCAGGGGGACATAGGCATGAGAACAGGAAGAAAAGTAGAGAAATTATGCTTCAACCACGTATGTAGACACATCTTATTTATCCATTACACACCATTCTGGGCCAAACCCCACATTGAAAGATCAAGACAAAGGGGATGTGGTTATCAAGATGATTATTCTCCCATTTACAGAAGTAATATTTACCTTTATCAGGATTTTCAGCATTCCAAATAGTACTTGGAATATTTACCATTAAGCAGCCTGGTGTTTTCGTGCCATATTCAAATATATTGCAAACTATAAAATTGATGTTTGATTTCAGCTGAAAGGGCAAGGCCTTATCTGATGACACATGATAGTGCCACAAGCACAGATTACATCAATGCAGTTTATGTAGATGTAAGTAGTCATTACCATTACATATTATGGCCATGGCATGTATTATAGGAGGCTCAAATTAAATCTGATTGTCAATTATCTAACCTAATAAAATGTTCCTGTCTTATTAATTTATGCAAGTCTCGACCATTGAGTGATATTGGAATATGGCTTTATCACTGGGTTTAGATATGAAACATATCCTGAAGGATATAGTATATATTAATTATATATATATCAGACAACATAACCAAAGTGTAACTTAAAAATCATTTTCCAAAACTATTTTCTGGTACATGTAATTCCTTGCTATGCTGATTCTGTGTTTTATATTTATTTTCTACAGGGATTCAAGTACAAAAATGCATACATTGCTACCCAATGGCCATTGAAGAACACTCAGGCTGACCTATGGCGTCTCATATACGACTACAACGTTCATGCAGTGGTTGTTCTGAATGAGCCCACATCACCTGATATCATTAATGTAATGTAGTCTCTCTATTGTTATTTAAGAGAGTTAATGTTAATTAATTAATTTAAACCATTGTACAAGTATATATACATGTAATGTATTCAATACCATCAAGAATGTTTACCATTTTCAAGATTTCAACAACAATTTTAAACATATTCATTTTATTTGAATTAAATATTTATAATTATGATGAACATTCCTTGATTTGTGACACTGATGAATGAACAAACAAAATTTTAGTTTTGAATGTTTGGATGATAGCAGCACTTTGATTTTTTATTTTAGAAATTCAAATTCTGGGAAGATTATGAAAAGTTCTGGCCAACAAAGGATGATAAAGATGCACTTTATGGGCCATTAACTGTTTTCATGGAGCATGAGACAGACTATTCAAATATCACCACCAGGGACTTTCGTATTCGCAAGGTATTGTTCTGCTGCTGTCATAAGCTTTGCCATTAACCTCACAATACAGCATACATCATCTAAGAAGCATATTGCATTGAAGTATTTCCATGGGCTTTCAAGAGAAAAAAGCCCATGATATTTCTAATATTAAAGGTCAGGTCAAAATCAATATCTGCGAAACATTGAACTTAACGAACTCCAAACCTCTCAAAGTGTATTTTGTATATACGGTATTTGGTATTTTGACAAAAGTCAGTATTCTCACATGAACCAGGCCTTAACAATCTAAAACATAAAAGAACTTTAAATTTGAAATTGCTAAATTGGATAATCATATTTTTCTGATTTATAGCCCAAGAAGTATGTGAATGTAATGAGTGATCTCTCAGAAGCTGGCGAGGTAGGTTTGATATTTCCATTTTAACATACAATAGAAACAAGAGGGCATCAGTAGATAGTGGAAACATATCAAGATGTTTATAATTCTAGTTATCAAATATCAAATGAACACTTGCTATTAAGCTCGTCTTTATATCTTATATGTTCCAAAATGTCAAAATAATATCCACAGGGCCGTAGCCAGGATTTGCCAAGGGGGGTTCACTTGTGACGATTTTGGTCTAAAAATGGCCAAAATCACTTCAAAAGTGCTCAGTATGAATGGTGAAAAACTGCATGATTTTGAAAGATTTTTTGGCCAGGGGGGTTCAACCCCCCCCCTGGCTAAGGGTCTTATCCATATACACATAAGTGGAAGCCATTTGTCCAAAACTGCAGTACATTGTGATTTTGTATGTAGATTTATGAATTAACTACATCTCATTCTGGTTGCACTATCTACTCTTAACTCATCTCCCTTCCTTTATTGAATTCTTTATTGAATTCATCAGGTTATTCCAGTAATTACTTGGTCATCTACACATTGTGTATAAATAACTATTAATATGATATACATAACTACCTGAAGATAATAATTGATACTCATACTGTATTATCAAAATGTTTCATACCACCGTATTTTCTTTATTCTTCCGATTCTACTACAGTAGGATAACACAGGTAAAATAGCAACCATTTGTAATTGTATTGTTGTTTCAATTTCAGTTTGCTTAGTAATAATTTAATATGCATGTCAAGTTTTTACTGCATGCAAGTGTACATAAAATAGCAATAGAATAACATGGTTTTAATTTGGAAAGATTAAAAAATCAGGATTGTTATCTTCAATGGAATGGCCAATGAAAACAAGCTGAAATTCTTATGTATAATGTAATATGTAACGTATTGTATCACAAATCTTCATTTTTTGTCCAGCGTCTTTTTGGCATCAACAGTGTAAGTGGTTAGGCTTTATATGCATGATCCCCAATTTTACCCATGCCTGATGCTATCATAATGGTACAAAAGCCATCATAATAGTGCCCATTTCCACACAATAGCTCCCATATCATCACAATGCTACTCAAGACATCACTGTACATGTAGTACCATGGCCTCTCAACATTTTTGAAAGCCCATTGTTGTACTCATGTCATAACAATAGCACACATACACATATTATCAGAACCTTTCTCATGTCATCACAATAGGTCTCACGGTGTTGCAATGGTACTCATGACATCACAGTAGAAATCTAGTCAAGTCAATAAAACATATATTTTTCATAATAGTGCTCAAATCACCACAATAGTTCCCATGTTATTTAAATGGTACTTGGAACATCACAATAGCACCCTACCCTTATCATCACATTAGTTCTACCCCCATGGGCTTCTCTTGATATCCCATAGCTATACCCATGTCATCACAATAGATCTCATCTCATTACAATGATTCTCATGACATCACGGTAGCACTTATATGATATCCATTGTATTATATTCTCCCTTACTGTTTTACATCTAGCGTTTATTTGGTATACCTCTCTTCCCAAATGCTGTAAGTTCTCGAACAGTTTTATGTTGATTCTGTTTGAATAACATTAAACTCATTTTTTGAGTGTCATGTGACTTATTTCATTATTTAAGAGGTTATTTGATAACTAACTAAACCTTTTCAACACCATAGGATGGGGAAAGGTTAAATAATTTGTTTTGGTGATGCATTGACACTTTTCCATTTTATTATGTCACCACAAGAAGTGGTGACATATTGTGCTAATCTTCAGCGTTTTTGTTGCTGGTGTTTGATGGCTGGTGTATGGCATCCAGTGCTCAGCAGTTGGTGTTCGGTAGTCTGCTCCTCCTGTAACAAATGGCAAGTGGTGACATTTTGCATGTTAATGCCTTGTTTTATTTGCATCCATAACTCTGCATACAGTTGTTAGTATAGGGTAAAATATCTAACATTGGTCCTTTGCCAGAACTGCAAGTGTTTCATGAATACATTGACATTGAACTAGAGAGTGTAATATATTGCATTTGTACTACATTTTTTATTATTTATTTTGTTTTTTTATTTTTATTTATTTTTTATTTTTTGCATGATGTGACATCTTTATTTTCTTAAGTTTGTGTGTCTTGTAAAACAAAGTTGTTGCACAGTTTTGGTACAGTGTTAGTGTGTATTTAGAAATAAAAAACCACTTCTCTGATCTTGAGAGTTATTGCTAATTATTGGGTGTTGAACGATTTCAGTGATGCATGATTTATTTGAAAGTTACAAAGGGAAAGAAATAATTGTTTATCAAAGTTCTGCGATGATACCCAGACCTCAACGTACTGTATTGTAATGTTGGCATTTTAGGATCTGCATTCATCCATGGGCTTTCAACTTTCTATGATTCCCATGATTCATTATACTGCCAAGTTCGCCAATACTTAGCATAGCACAGAATTATGAGATCTGGTTATTACCGAAAACCTGTGTAAGTTGAACATCATTGGTTAGATTTCCATTTGTGGTGTTCCACTTGTAGAGGTGGTACAATAATTTGAAGTCATGGGACTTTGAAGTGTTCAACTTAAGATGTATTCCACTAGACAGGTTTTCTCGTATATGCAAAATAACTTTTTGCGAGGGTTAGATCTCTACAGTATAGCTTTTTAATGATTGTCCATACTGCAAAAGGATCATGCAACACTCATTACATGCAAGTCTCAAAGATTGAAGAGATGCCTGTATTACATTAATGATGTTAATCAGCACTAGTATATATTATACTAGTATATATAATTATATTTTTTGGTTTCTTCTAGATAGGTGGCTGGTTGTAGCTATGAAGCTATTCATCATCGCACAGTAATGAGAATTTATATTTTATGTTTGAATGTTTTCTGTAGGCTGACCCCGCCACAAAACTCATGTTAGCAGATATGGTGAGAATCAGCTAGTTACCAATATATGCTTGCTTAGATAAGATATTGACATTTGAAATATTTGCTGAATCGTCTATATGTGTGTATTATATTACCAGCTAGCTAGGAGGTGTTAGGGAATTTAAAGGAATAGTCAAAATATGTTGCATCAGATATGTAACCAATTCAGTTATGCAATTGACCCTCCCACCCTCTGCAAAGCTTAATTTACAAATATTTTATGTATACACTTACACAATTAAACCTCTTTCTTAGTATTCATTTCAATACTAAATTATTCACAACTCAATGTGCAGACCATAACTTTTTAAATCATTTTGGTTTTTTTATCAATGTACATGTAGTTAAATTTTTGATCCAACATCCATCTTTTGTCAGCTTCCTTTATTCAATGTAGAATTCTATATGTTTAATATAAGTCAAATATTTCATTCTATTAAGGTGAATATGTAAGTGTTATGTACTGGGAGGTTTTGAATACATGGTTCATCTCGTGGGAAATATATGTACAAGTTGTATATCTCCTCAATGACAGGAGTTATAAACCCTGTATCCAAAACTGATTGGATAACAAGTGTATCCCATACCTAGTGTGGTTCTAGATCTAGTACCTTCTTAGAATTTGAATTTTTTTTGAAAATAAATAGTGAAAATTTTTTAAGTTTAAAATGAATTTGAAAAGATATAACTTAATGAAGCGAGGCCAGATTGGATCTAACTGGATGTCTGGATCCACAATTATCTATAACAGGAGAAATATCCATCCAGCTCTTTAGGTACACTATATATTCCTGCATGCTATATACCTAGCACTGCATAAAATGTATGTATGGGATACATGTTCAAATGTCAATGATTCTCACAAGACATGCTCACTGAAACAGATTGGGATGAGAAATACACTTTCAAATAAAATGAAATATTTTTGACCAATTATTAAGTAGTAGATATGCCAGTGAAATATTATCCTTAATTTGCTACAAAGCTTTAATTGTTATAACATAGTTGCTTTTCTGTAAGACAGCCATTAGTCTTGCATCCAGTCTTTGGATCCCCCTACATACTTCCTTTATGGAGTCAAGGTAAAGGTATGAAGGGGGTAGAATACTACAAATACAAGACTTAATCTATTGACTGTACCACAATGTAAACACCTGCTTCTGGACTCAGAGATTTACTGCTTTACAGATTAACGGAAAGTGACAATATAATGAGTGATCATACAACTTGTTTGCCTACTCAATTTTGTTTATATTTCTCCCTAGATGATAGAGACATTTTGTAAAATAATTTTTGTTTTCAGATTTCTTTCTTTGGAATGAAACACAGAATCTCTTTTTAGAATAGTCTTAAATCTGAATTTGTAAATTATTATTTATGAAGTTTTATTGATTAATTGAAAATTTCAAAAGCCACCAAAATGTGATTACATATACTTTGCTCAATGACTATACATACATGTATTATAGATTAATTGTTGTAACAAAAGACAGTATGAATAAAATAGAAATGTTAACCATATGTAAATCACTCCAATATACCTTGTCTTTTTTACCTTCAATTGTTATTCACAGGCATTGATTCGTATGGACAACAAACCCAAATCAAGATCTGCAGAGGGAGAGAAACACTGCCGTATGTTCCATCTGCATTGCTGGCCAAATGGGCATAAAATTCCAACTTCGAATCTTGCCATGATAGAATTGTTTAACATGGTCAACCAGTGGCAGATGGACACCAATGAAAGTGGGCCTATATTGGTTGTATCTAAGTAAGTGCTTATGATTTAAAATCATGTTATAGGTCTATATATTTTTATATGAAACATTTACACATATTTAATATATAGTATCCCAATTGTACATAAGAAGATAAGAACACAACCAAAATCTGAATATCCTCTTATATGATGCATTGTATTTTAACCCTTTATTTTGTCAAAAGCCTATTTATTGAAGTACAAAACACTTTCACCTGCCTCATATCATTATTAAAACTCCATTCTTCCCAGGCCCATGGGGCTACAGTCGTTTTTGTATTTGATTATTTGTGAAATCCTTTTACAGAAATGGAGTCAATAGGTGTGGTGTTTTCTGTGCCCTGAATATTGCATGTGACAAACTCAACACTGAGGGAGAGATTGACATTTTCAAAGCAGTCAAGTGTGTAAAGATGAATCGACCTCAATTGGTCGATAGTATGGTGAGTTAGGGACCAGATCAAAAAATCTTTTTCAATATACCATAACTTAACAAAGACTAAGACTTCTTGATCCAGTCATCTGTTTGTTAAACTTTGTTGTTAAAAGTTTGAGGACACAAACTGACTACTTGTATCTGTATCCAGTCTAGTTCCAAATTAATGGGGGCCTCTCCTAAGAATCAAAGTTAAATGAATGCAAAGGGTACACATTGGGTTCCACCTTAATGTAATTAGTTTGCGACATGATGATGGTGATAATGAATGATGTTACCCCCAATGGTCATGTTGCATAATACATATCTGTTTATCATTAGGCTTCCTGCTGTAACATAGTGATAACTTGAGAACTAGTGATCAGATTAACATAACTCATAAATATGTCCAAAAATTAAATGGAATTATGTGTATTTCTTACTACTTTCAGATGGAGTATATCTACTGCTACACCTTCATGGTGGTATTACTGGAGCTATTACAGAACAGTTATCTCCAAGGTATTATACCTAGGATTCTCGTTACAGAAGAGGAGAGACATGCCTTGGCCAACTCACCCTATATCTATGATAACCAAGCTTACACTGGACAAGGAGCTGAGCTTGAACCACATTCTAGTACATATATTTAATGAGGTGGAGATCTTGTACATTGTAGTATATGGTAAAGCCTACATAGGATAGGAACATGCCTTTACATGGATGCATGCCTTAAAGCCTGTCTCTTACATGAGAGCATGCCTACAGTATGAGGCTCAAACACTGATCTGATAAAGAAACAAATAAGACAGAGTGAACATTCCAAATTATTGGATGGAGAATCTAAAAATCTACCATTCACATTCACAAAATGTACTTGTTGGTTGAATTGATCAAAATTGGGAACAGAAAAATTGGGCACTGGAAATTTGCTGGTATGTCTAGAATATCAAACTATTTACATGTATTTGATACAGAATCAAGAACATTACATTTTATGTCAAAAATTGAAATTGAAAGCTTACTAATAATACAATATATGTAGTTTTAGTATTGTTTTTAGTTTTGTATGTGCCTTAAAACTGCCAAATAGTTTTAAAATATATGTAATTACACATTAATATAATTAACTTCAGAGGTTTTGATAACATGGAGTCATTGAACAATCATGTAAATAGAAGCACAATAACTGTTTTGAAAGTGTGTGAAAATCTACTTTTCTACATACAATGAATTGTTATTCTAAATCATCTAGGATGTTTTTTGTCGTTTTTGCATTTGGTCTTTTAAGTACAATTGTATGTTCAAAGGGTACATACTGCCCTGTTAGTACTATTCTACAGTGTATTCTAAGCTCTTCGACATTTAAAAAGTCACTCAACTTTTTTTGTGATTATGAGTCAAAGAAAGCATTCTTGAGTTTCAAATTGACTTCTGTGGTAACTTGAAACCATCTTCTAATTTATTCCACTTACCTTTTATTGTTTCTCCAAATATATTCTTTGAAAATCGGATTTTAAAGGCGTTAATCAGGGCAATTCTCTGCCATTTTGATCAAAAATCTTGTTGCTACCTAGAAACGAGCAATTGTGATCTTGTTGTTTCCTAGGAACTAGCAACTGTGATGTCACGTCACACCATGGGCTTTCAATTTCTAGTTGAAAGCCCATGGTCACACTCATGTGAATTCTGGAATCACATGGCAGCCATTTTGGAAATTTCAAAAAAGTTCCCAATTAAAAAGGCTAAATGCTGTTTACAAATTGGAAAAAACGATTGCAGAATCAACAAAAGGTTTGTGAAATAATTAGGATAAGGTTTCAAAATTATGCATATGACAATATATGACTACTAAATGCAGGCAGGGACTTTTAATTGCCAAAAAGTTCAGTATCAAAAAGCATTGGTATCTACCTTAGTAAGGTACATGTACTCAGGTTCCTCAGATGGCGGCGTATTCTTTGGGTGCAGTTGCACCCCCTCTGAAATCTCAGAAAAATCCCTGAGGAAATAATGTCATAACAGCTATCAGTTCTTTATATTTTGCTTAGTGTACAATGATCTTCTTAATTTTACGCTTTGCTTACTGCATTTTGTTTAATTAGGATGAAAATGGAAATTAAGCAATCATAATGGATCTAAACTCAATGTATGTCTGATGTCATATGACCATTTTCTGTAAAAAATTAGTTAATTAGTGTCTGATGGCCAGGCCTGATAGTGTACCTTTCAACCACTCTTATACTATTTTAACATACTTTCAGATCCAATGTATGAATCACTTACAATTGTTTGTTTGTATATACATCTGTACATTTATGTGCAATAACATTCCATGTATAAAATAATTTACATGTGAAAAATGTTCTAATACAACTGTATGAAATAGAATTGATAAATAAAAACAATTCAGTCTTTTGCATGTCCCATAAGCTGGTAATTAGGTAATTATTGGTAATCATTAAACCAGACCTAGCAAAACAAATTAATATGGATGAATCGAAAGATTTTATCAAAATATGTATAAGTAATTACAGTTGACAGGCAGAGAACAATGTGTTATCCAGGGGTTCATTAACAGGAATTCCTATATCAATTTATCGTAACCATGAATATAATGACCTGAATGATGTCACAGTGGTCAAGCAAAAAATTGTTTAATTTTTTCCAATGGAAATACTTTTTCCTCTGAAAGACAAGTCTCGGTTTGTTATATGTAAAAATATCAAAACTGTCCGAAGCAGGCGTAACGTGCAGTACATTGATTCAATAAAAGACAAGTCTCGATTTAGAGAAAGAAGTTTATCAGTCAGTCAGTGTACTGCGCTAATAATTTTTTTATGAAACAGAAATATCACCCAAATTAAAGGGGCAACAAGGCCTGTAGAGAGAAAAATTTTAACTTTTTCTGAGCTATCAAGGCAACATTTGGCTTAACATCTTCTTTGATATAGCCTACCTATTTTCTTAAAATGTATGGATAAACTATCAATTTCAGCATTAAGAACTGTAAATTCAGTTCAAATGTTCAAAAGGGGAAATCCACTTTTATATTTTTAAGATCCACCATGTTTCAAGAGGAATATCAGCTGAAATAATGTTTATCTATGGGGTTTCTAAAAATAAATGTAAGTCTTGATGAAATATCTAAACTTAAATATATTTTGACACTGGCACATGACCATTGAATAATTGGATCTCTGCACTAGGCCTAATCGTTGCACCTAAATTGGATATTCAAAAGAGGACATTTAAAATCTACAATATGTAAAAATATCAAAATTGTCCAAAGTAGGCTACAAAACTACTTTCAAACCATTCATGAACATGAATATAAAATAAACAGAACAACTACATGAACATAAAACTTAAACACTAACACTTTTTGGCATACCTGTACATACAGGTAGGTTAGATAATTACCTGGTGAAAATTATTGAATGCAATTTGTCATCACATCCTCCTTCTCATCAACATGACCTTTTCGGTTTTGATATCAGTCTATCAATTTCAGTATTTTTAAATTCACTTCTGAACTAAAGGATCTAGTGCGCCCTCCATTATGATCTCCCCATGAACAAAAATAAATGCATCTGATTTTTCAAAATAAATATACTGCTTTTATTATTACATTTATATGTACACTAGTATCTTGTTGTCCTATATTCAGCACTGTATTGATGGATGTGCCATTTGCTTGAACTTAGAATCAGTATGATATACAGGTACCTTGTAATTGTAATGTGTCCATTTATAGAAAAACGTTACAATGCATTTTGTATTCAATGATAGATGTCAACCAACTAGACAAAATAACATCCTTGACTTAGTATTCACTACATGCCCAAACCTCGCAGAAAGAATCTCGGTGGTTCCGGGCATGAGTGATCACGAGGCAGTCCTATGTGATATAAACCTAAAAATGAAAATTCAGAAAAAGAAGCCTCGTAAGGTCCACATATACAAGCGGGCAGAATGGACTGGACTTAAAGAGACTCTACGATCTAAGTTCAGCGAATTCAAAGAGAACTGTGAAAGTAGATCAGTTGAAGACAACTGGTCCTCCTTCAAATCTACATTAATATCGTCAATCAATGAGCATATTCCAAGTAAAACTCTAAGTGGGAAATTCAAAGTACCCTGGATTACCACCAGGATACTGAGAATGATCCGACAGAAACAAAGACGATATAATGTTGCCAAACGTTCAAATGAACCTCATCATTGGCATAAATACAAATCACTACGGAAATTAATCCATAGTGAAATTCGTAAAGAACATCAGCGCTACATCAACGATCTGCTTGACATTGATGAAAGCGAAATCATAAATGAGAATGTTCAGCACAAAGGCATTACCAAACGCTTCTGGAGCTACATAAAGTCTAAACGCAAAGATGCATCAGGTATCAGCGTGCTGCGTAACAAAGATGGCGACGAAATAACAGACGCCGCCCAGAAAGCAAACATCCTCAATGACCAATACAATTCTGTATTCACAGATGAGGATGCCACTCTACCGACAATGGTACCTAGTCAAATTCCTGAAATGCCAAATATCAAAATTTCGACAAAAGGAATTCACAAATTGCTAACTGGCCTAAATCCATCAAAAGCCACTGGACCCGATCTTATTCCGACTAGGGTCCTGAAGGAATGCAGTGACAGCATATCACCATTCCTTCAAATAATTTTTCAACAGTCTATCGATGAAGGCTTAGTGCCTTTGGACTGGAAACATGCCAATGTTACTGCTATCTACAAAAAGGGACGAAGAGATGAGGCTGTGAATTACAGGCCTGTATCTCTGACGTCAGTTCCATGTAAAATAATGGAACATATTATATTCCATCATGTTATGGCCCACTTTGACCTCTATGAAATTCTAGTAAAATTCCAACATGGATTCAGGTCAAAGCACTCATGTGAAACACAACTTGTCAATACAATAGAGAATATAGCTCGGGCCCTCGACAACAATAAACAAACAGACATGTTGGTATTAGACTTTTCCAAAGCGTTTGACACGGTGGCTCACGAACGCCTCTTGCTCAAACTCGACTATTATGGAATTCGCAATAATAACTTGAACTGGTTCAGATCCTGGCTTGTGGGAAGATCACAACAGGTAGTGCTCGATGGTGAATCAAGTTCAAAAACTCCAGTAAAATCAGGAGTTCCTCAAGGAACAGTTCTTGGACCACTCTGTTTCCTTGTGTATATCAATGATATGGGCAATAACCTATCATCCTCAGCCAGTCTTAAGCTTTTTGCCGACGACAGCCTTTTATTCATGACAGTCGAAAGCAAGCAAGATGCATTAACACTACAGGAGAATCTTGATAAACTGGTCTCCTGGGCATCAACATGGCAAATGAAATTCCATCCATCAAAATGCTATGTGCTAAATATTCACAAAGGTAAATCCCCTATCATGCACAATTACACCATGCTAGGGGAAAACCTTAAGTCGGTAACACACATCCCATACCTAGGAATTGACATCACAAATAACTTACGCTGGACTACACATATTCAAACTATTGTATCCAAAGCCAATAAGGTGCTTGGATTTCTCAGGCGCAACCTCCATCAATGCCCTGAAAAAGTGAAGGCTCAGGCGTATAAGTCACTAGTCCGGCCTAATTTAGAGTATGCCAGCTCGGCATGGGATCCATACCGACAAAAAGATATTGATATGTTGGAACAGGTACAGAGAAGAGCAGCCAGGTTTGTAACCAAATGTCACTCAAGGGAACCAGGCTGCGTCACCAAAGCTCTTCAAGACCTACAGTAGGAGCCACTGAAGGAGCGTCGAGAGGCTGCTAGAGTTTTCCTTTTCTACAAAGGAAAGCAGAACCTAGCAGCCATCGACGTGCCTCCATACTTCCGCCAACAGATCAATACCAACACTAGGTTGTATCATCCTTCTAAGTTCATACAACCATCAGCTAGAACGGATGCATACAAATTTAGCTATTTCCCTAGGACAATAGCTAAATGGAACACTCTACCTGGTGACATCTTAGACTGTGACAGT